TACCAGGCAAGGGCTCTATCACCGAGTTACAGCCTCAGCTCATGTTCTCGTGGACAGTGCGGTGGGTGGTGGCCACCGTAGCAGATGTGATGCCTACACATTGTAACGGCTGAGATGCGGGATGACAGTCTTGACAGTCTTGAGTGTAAGTGAGACACTGCCCAACATCAGAACATGCAGATGCGGGCTGCGTGGGACAGGGCTGGAGGTTTTGTTTGTTTTCAAGAAAACGTTAGAAGAACCTCAAGCAGCAAGAGCTATTTAAATCATCCTCTGAGGCACATTCGGAGGAAAGGATGTGACAGCTGCTTCCCTTTGGTTGTGCTGGGCATGGGACCCAGGGCTTTGGGGCATACAAGGCATGCGCTCTGACACTGAGCCTGGAAAAGGGTTTGTGCTTTGCTGTTTGGTTATCAGGTTGGTTCCTCCTCACTGCTGTGAGCAGGGACTGGGATGGAGGACAAGAGGGAAGGGCGTCTCGGGGTTAGTGGCAGCAGTGGATGATGCTATACATACCACCCAGGTGCAAGTCGATGAGGCCACTGTAATAAGATTCTCCCCAATAGTCTACAACAAGGAATTGGTGAAGACAGAGTTATTGGATCAGATGACCCTGCTGCCACCCCGACCCAAACGCTATCAAGGACAGGACACATAAAACAGACAGGAGTATTGTGAGAGAGACCAGTGGAGCAGCTGGAAAGCGTGCATATCTGTAACACATGCCATGCACACACGCATGCCATCTCTGCAGCTCGAGGTATGAAGGGGTCACCAAACACCACTACGGATGGAGTCGCCAGCCGGCGTTAGGGAGGTTCCTTTTCCCACCTCGACTCAGGGAGGATGAGACTTGGCACTGCTGGGAACACCAACCCTGCTAGAAGGCAGCCTCCCCTGAGAGTTAAGAAAGTTTAAGGCTAGAACAGAGGCTACTCTAGTCTTACTTTCTGAATATTAGAGGCTCCAAGCTAAGGCTTTCAAAGATGTGAACAATGGGGTAAAGAGAAGAGAAGAGAAACCTCTGGAAGCCAAGTAACTTGCAAGTGACTCCATCAGTGGTGCCCGTGTGTGCTTTCTGCAGAAACCACTGAGCCGAGCCGGCTTGAGATGAAGCTCCCACGTCTTCTGGGGTTTAGGTTCCCCATCTTCAGAGGACTTTTTCTTTCAAGGTAAGAAAGGAGCTGAGACACTGGCACATTTCCCACCCCCTATACTCTGAGGCTGCCGTAGGCCGTTCTTGTTTCTCGGCTCCGGGAGCTGTCCAGCAGTTTAAGAGGGAGCCTGGTGGCAGTGGGTCTTGAGCTGGCAGTTTTTAGGGTCCAGAGCACAACAAGACATCTGGCATTCTCTCTACCTCACAGTCTGGATGCTGATCCTGGCAATCACACCCTTCTCTTTTAAGGATGGATATGTCAGAGAGCTGAGTGCCCTCGGTGGCTTTCTAGCTCGTGTCAGAGGCCAGTCCAGGGGTTCAAAGCTTGAGTCAGAAAAACCGAGAAGCTCCCCTCTGATTCCAGGACAAGAATCCCACAAGTCTTAGCCTTGCTCTGGAGCTGAATCCATGTGGCCTGTATATATAAAAGTCTTTGACAGAAACAGATACCCTGACAGCAACTCCAGACCAGATCTCTTCTCTGGAAGGGCATCTTGGCTAACAAATCGTGACCCCTTTGACAGCAATGGAGACTTGAAGCGACCACATGAGTCAGGATGGCAGGTTCTGGCCAGCTTGGTGCAGTTCAGAAAGGGAGCCCAGTAGTGCAGCTAGAAGCCACTGTGTTCTTTGCTCAGCCAGTGAGAAAAGAATGAGAAACAGTGAGAAAGCTGCTGCTACCACGCACACTCAGTCTCCGAGACGGTCTCCGTCAGGGACAAGGTCACGGGGAACTGACCAGTGTGGAGCGTGGAGTGTTAAGTATAAGAACAGGAAAGAGAGGATTGGAAATACGAATGTATCCTAGGGAGATGTCCCAAGAGCCTCTAAGTTGTATCTGTAGACACAGCCTCACCTTCTGGTCCAGGAGGGTTTGCAAAGATCTGCCTATAGTCAGGAGTTGGACCTAGAACATGGCTTTCAAACTTCTGTTGACTCCTAGGGCTCTTCAAGAGGGGTGCCCCAGGGGACTCTCAGATACCTGGCCCACAGCCAGTTTGAACGTTTGAAGACTTAATGCACAGGGCTTCACATGCCAACTCTTTTGACCCACTGAAGACCTGCAGGTAAGTCTGCTTTGGGGGGAGCTGCCAGGTCCAAGTTTCTTTTGCTTCATGTACAAGAAGATGAACTTGTCATACATACATTGGTAAGAGGTTAGTTAATTCAAGTCCTTCTGGCAATGACAGAGATCATGTGCCACTGTGTGGAGATCCTTGAGTAGGGTCTCTGGAAGGCTTAAGAGTTTAAGCTGGCTTCTGAGCGCACTGCTGGTCCTTCCAAGTGGCTAAGGTATCCTGCCAGCACATTACAGTGCACCTGGGGTTCTTCTTTGTATTGGGGAGCTTCTCGTTTATCATTTAAGATTTATTTTTATTTTATGTGTATGAGTGTTTTGTCTGCATGTGCACCTGGTGTCTGTGGAGGATGCTGGATCTCCTGGAACTGAAGTGACAGATGGTTATGAGCAGCCATGTGGGTGCTGGGGACAAACCCAGGTCCCCTGCACAGCCACCGAGCACTCTTCACTGCGGAGCCATCTCTCCAGCCCCTGTATTTGTTTTCTGTTTTATAAAGAGTATGAATTACTGTCGGTGATTCAGCCGCTCTTATTCGTGAGCTGCAGGTACTGAGATTTCCAGGCGAGCCGCTAAAGGCTCCCACTAAGAGCATACACACGCACCTGCTGGGATGCATGACGCTCAGGCTTTTGAGCATCTGCAACTCTCACCGAACTTGTACTTTCAAATTTGTGTGAGCATTAAAAACAACAACAACAACAACAACAACAACCACATTTTAAAATAATTCTTCTGGATTGTAGGCCTCAACTAACACTTTGTGTATGATGGGCTCTCCTGCCAACTGAGTTAGGATAAATTCAGACTGTGTGTGTGAGTATACGTGTGAATACTGATGTCTGTGGAGATGTCTCCCCTGGAGCTGGAGTTACAGACTGCTGTGAGCCGCCGATTTGAGCGCTGGGAACTGAACTCTGGTCCTCTGTCAGAGCAGCATGTGATCTTTACTGTGGAGCCATCTCTCTGGCTGCTCTGTCAATTTTTTAACGGCATCATTTTCTGGCTCACTGGTGGCAGCCGGGAGTGACACGCCTTTTACAGAAGTGTAGAAACAGACTTCAGTTGCATGGAACCTTAAGCACTTTCCAGAAACCATCGACCAAATGGTTATCTTTTGAGCCTTTGCGTAGAGCTCTGGGATGGAACACCTTTGGGAAACTCTATGAACCATGTCCCTAGATAGTAATGCCAACTACTGATGTGGGATGGAGCTCCAGGTCCCCTGATGGCATTCTGTGAAGAAGAAGAGAGTAGTGGAAAGGACAGGGCTTTCCAGCTCTGTAGCCAGGGCTCTCCAGAGGGAGGGGCTAACCCCATCCAGTGCAGGCTGCACTGAGAAGATCAGTCAGAGGAAGAGAACAGGGAGCAGCCTTCAGGCTGCTGGACACACCATCGGTATGGTGGTGCACTGAAAAGCCAAGAAAATGTGTGGGTGAATCCCCTCTTCACTGCTCGGTGTGGGAACCAGTGTTCCTTGTACCAGTGGCTCCCAGTCTTCTTAACTTGCTGGATACAAAGTGGCTTAAGCTTTTGAATTCCCTTTGGCAGCCTGGGATTCAAGGGTTATATCCAGCAGCACCTCCAGCATCAGGTGAAGCACAACTCCCAAACACCCACATCCTCATCTCTTTCTCTCAGCCACATCTTTGCCCCGAGGACTATCACTGAGTCCACCAATGAGCACGATTTCTGAGACTTAAAGGGCCTGAAGAAAGATTTGCTTCTGTGCCTGCCCCGACTCCTTAACTGGCAATGCCAGTGACTAGACCACTGGCCAGTGTTCAGAAAGCCCATGGGGCAGTGGCTGGCCCTATCTGAACTCCTATTTGTTCTTTAGCTTGCCTGCCAGGAAGTATACCAGCTTGCTTCCCTGTTTCTGGAAGGAGGCCACAAGAGGCTCTGACCTTCCTTTTTCCTTGCCTCACACTATGAATGCTGAGTCCTTAGACCAGGGGCCAACTATGAAGATAAGAGGCTCCCCATCCAGGCACTGGATCTTGAGTTACCAGAGGTCAATCATTCCATGCCTGAAGCCGGGTTGACCATGGGCCACCGAGACAGCTCAGATACTTCCTTGTCTTCTCTGTACCCATCAGTGTCAAGTCTAGCACGTTCCAACCACATAGCCCATGCCTAATAATAGCTTCCCATGCCTATCCTACCATAGCTGATCAAAAGCGAGAGCCTCTCCAATACTGCTCTTAGTGACTTAGCCTTTGGTGGACACAGCCTGGGCTCACCCATGGAAACCTTGAGTGCATGGGCAGTCAGAGGCCCCACACAAGAGAGGATGCAGGCTCTGTGGCTGTGTAGCTTGGGCTGGAGGGAGCCCAGGGAATCGAGGACAGGAAAAGCACTCGGGAGAGCAGGCTAAGGCCTGTTGAGTGAGGTTCTGTGATGGTTCCTTGTGGGACAATCTCCCTTAGTCACAGATATTTTCTTCTAGAGAAAATTGTGGGGAGGGAGGAGAAGGAGCAGGGAGAGGAAGAGGAAGCCCAGGGCTTGCCACCAACAGGCGACAGGACCTGGGATTTCGTTCCTCATGGCAACAGCAAGCCGAGGAATGGGTTGGGGAGCAGGCCTGGGTTGTCTGGGCTGTCTGAACATAGGGAAGCACTGGACCTTGATGATGCCAACAACTCAGAAAACCCTGAGAGAGAAGGAGCCAAATTCCAGAAGAGGTGACGCCAAACTGGCTCACCCCAGTAAGGTAGGCTCTCTCCTTGAGAACAAGCCTCGGCATAGAGGGAGCCAGACGGTACCTGCTTCGCCTCGCAGGGCCTTCTCTACTGCAACGCCCCGCTCCTCCAGCTGCCTCTGCTTCTCCTCCACTTGCTCCAGTTGCCGCTGGATGATCTACCAAGAAACAGAGACTAAGTTTCCAGGCTCCAGCTTCCCAGAGAATCAAGCTGCAGACCCAAAGAGGGAGAAAACTAAATGCTGCCAAGATGTTGAAAGGGACACTGTGGTCAGTGTGGTGTGCCAGCTGCATGCAGCTGGATCCCAGGGCTTGTTATCTTTCCCTGGAACAGTTCAAAAGTATTTTAAAATGATTTCATTAAGCCTTTATGATAAGGAGACTGTAAAGCACTGGATGCAGTGACTGGAAATCCTGCTTCAATAAGCTGGAAAAGAAGTGTCTAGAACAGTCTAGGATGGTAGTTCTCAACCTTCCTAATGTGACCCTTTAATATTTATTAAAGGCACTCTGAGGTTGTCATCTTGGAAGATAAGAACACCCTCACATTGTGTGACCATAAAATTATCTTTGTTGCTGCTTTGTAACTAATTTTGCTGCTGTTATAAATCATAATGTAAACACCTGATATGAGAGAGAATATGTAACCCCTGTGAAGGGGTCACTCACCCCCCAAAGGTTGAGAACCACTGGTCTAGGACAAGGTCTGAGGATGGAGATTGATGACGAGGGGTTCTTCTGAGCTTTTCTGATAAAATCCCAGACTATTCAGATCTAAGGCTGAGGCCACAAACTGGACTCCTCACACTCTGGTTGCAAGTGAACTTGCTGCCTTGACATCTACTCTAGACCAAAGCTTCCAGGAAACTCAAAGCATGGACCTTCTTTTTTTTATAGACAGTGCCTTAAAGACAGGGCCTCTGTAGGGCATGATGCTGAAGCACTTTGAGGTTGTCACCTTGGAAGACAAGAATGCCCTATGTTCTTCCACCCTGGCTTCTTCCTCTCCCATGCTGTGAGGCCCTCTGGGGGCATACGGTGATGCTATTCCACTTCTCCCTGCATGTGGTGTCCCACGGCCAGCGCATACCTGGGCTCGGTGCAGTCGCTTCAGCTCCTCCTGCTTAGCCTGTCTCCGTGCTGCCTTTTGCACACGTCGCGTCAGCTTGGCACTCAGCTCCTCTTCTGTGTAGGTTCTGGGCTAGAGAGGGTGAGAGGGCTTCTAAGCCAGCTGCACGCAGGTGGAGGCTGGTTTAGGTGGTGAGTTATGGGTCTGAGGACTTTCCTCTACGTGGGAGTCACTGCCTGGTAGCCAGCTGGGCAAATGGTAAGTGAGGCTGGGCCACAGACTTCACAGTAATTGTCCCTGCTGAAGTCTTAAATACCACAGGGCACAGCTGTGTCACATAGGCCCCAATGTGAGGCACTTCACCTCTGTGGCAGCAACAAGAAGCTTACTGGGGGGTGAGTGTTGGGAGATTAAACCACAGACAGACAGGAGCTCCTTTGGCATTGAGATCATGGTGGTCATTTAAGCATGCCTGTGATTTTTTTTTTAAGCCATTGTGGTGATTTAAAAAAATATATATATATCTCGCAGTAAAACGTTTCTCTAGGCCTCTTATTTCTGACATACAGGGGAAAAAAAGGTTTGTGAAGTGAGGGGTCTCTTCCCTCCCCTTGTTTGGGATTGCTTTCTTCAGTAATGGGGTCCATAAGGACTTTAGTAGCTACCATCTAAAGAGAAAAGGTCTGGGTGCCTCCATTTTAAATCTCAGTGAATCCAGTCTAACACAGTCTGGGAAACGAACAGTGCTGGTGGCTGCCAGGGTCAGCAGAGGCAGTGGTTGCCACGGAGATGGTAGAAGTGACCTGGCGGGGTAGCTGAGGTGGCCTGTGATCTTAGAGGAGGCAACTGGGCAAGTCTCATGCAGACCCCAATGGATGTCCCAGCCAACTGTACACATGGGCCATCGACACACTCCCAAGCATTCAGTGACTGGATAGACACCGGGCAGCCACTGAGAAACATGAGTGGGAGATTGCCTTCCTTCGTGAGACCCTCTTTAGTTCCTCTAAGAAAAGGGAGCATCCAACATCCAGCTTGGGTCTAGACTTATCTCTCCTCAAGGAGCTCCAATGATACAAGGTGAGGTGAACAGGGAGAAGGTGGTCTTGAATACTGTTCCAGTGTCCCAGTGCCCTAATGGTCCAGAGTGGAGGCTGGTGACCATCCCACAAGGGCAGCTCTGCCCTCACCCATGATGACATGCACTCCAGCCAACGGAAGAGTGACTGTCTCCTCCTCTTTCTGTGACACAACTAAAGAAGGTTCTACTGTGACAGCTGCATGCATGTATGACAGTTAGTGAGGACGCGGCTGCAGGCCCAGCTGGGCTGTCCAAGTGGTTAATCACAGACAGGCATGCAATGAGGACCAGCCAGCGGGGATGAGACACTACCTTTGATGAATATGCTCTCCTGAATGCCAAGGCGTGTGGTACATAAATCGACTTTTAAGGGGATGGCAACGGAAAACAAAACAGAACAGTAATGATAATGATGATTAAAAAATGAAAACAGAATACAGAAATGGAACAAAATCAGTTAGAGGTTTAAAACAAACACAAGACAATCACATGACCACTTCCCACAATGCCACACAAGACTACACAAGGAGGAACCCTGGCTGCTGAGTCTCAGTCAACTCCACTGTTGGAGTTGGGGTTCACTTTTCTATTTGCACCACAGCATACCCTGAACCCCTTTGTGTCTGTTCTTTGTTGTATACCAGTTTGTTGAAATGTGTGTGTGGTGACTTGGCCCTCCTCAGCCACATCAGCCCCTTCCTTCCTTCCTTCCTTCCTTCCTTCCTTCCTTCCTTCCTTCCTTCCTTCCTTCCTTCCTTCCTTCCTTCCTTCCTTCCTTCCCATTCCTGCCATTGAACACTTAGCATGGCATGGAAGCGGAAGTGGTAAATGGCCACTGACCCTCACTCTCTTGACAGGTTCTCGAACCTGGCGGTGTTCTTGAGCAGGGCCACATGGTTTCAGTGTGACACCCAGCTGTCCTGGGACTGGGCAAACCTGCTTTTTGAGAACTATACCCAGTGAAGGAAACCAAAATGGCACAAATCACCGTGATTTAGAGGAAGTACCAGTGTTTGGGCAACTATTGGGACCTCTTTACTTCACACACTGACCAGAATTGCTCAAAGCTTTGGCCAGTTTCCTTTGCTTTTGTGGTCTTCTCGTGGGTCATAGAAAGTGCCTAAAGGTCCCTGTGGACACACGAAGGGAGGCAATTGGAATCTGCTGGTATCCAGGACAGGGGGATGCTAAGGGCGGCACACTGGGGGACCCGCACAGGATACCACATGCATGCTCGCTGGGGCACACACTTGCTACTTTTAGCTCTGGGCACGGGCATCAAGTCTGTTTAGTTCCTCTCTCCCACATAGCTGACGGTGAGTTCTCATGCAGAACCGGACAGTTTAAAAAGGAAGAGTACAGATGTGGTCCCCAGGGTCCTACACAGACACACTTCATGAGCCATGCTGACATCTGTCTGCAAGGACTCCACAGCATCCTCTGATTAGCGCACTCCCTGCTGGGACTGGAACCAACTTGGCAGTGGCAGTGACAGGAATGACAAGCATGACACACTTTGGGTCACCCGGGAAAGTAGGGTCAAGAGCATGGCTAGCTGGCTATGGAGCTGCTTCAGGGCTAGCAAGCAGGATAAGGGGCCGGCAGGGGGCAGGGCAGACCCTAGTGGGCCTCAGTGTCAAAGGAGTAGCTGCATTTAAGAGCCAGATGGAAACAAAAGTAAGTTATTTCTTGTTGTCAGGGCTTTAGATGGCTAGAAAAAACTGGATTGGACTGGGGAGATAAATCTGTTTGTAAAATCTGTGTTTTGCAAGCATGAAGACTTGAGTGGCCGGGCGGTGGTGGCGCACGCCTTTAATCCCAGCACTTGGGAGGCAGAGACAGGTGATTTCTGAGTTCGAGGCCAGCCTGCTCTACAGAGTGAGTTCCAGGACAGCCAGGGCTACACAGAGAAACCTTGTCTCGAAAAACCACAAAAAAAAAAAAAAAGACTTGAGTGTGAGCTACAACACCCCCCCCCCCCACACACACACATAAAAAGCCTGGCTTGGTGGGGTGAGCCTGTAATCTTATAGCTAGGGAAGAATCAGAAACAGGTAGATCCTGACCCCCAAGATTTGCTGTCCGGACAGCTAGTCTAGCCTACGTGGTAAGCTCTTTGCCATACACACATACATAAAAGGTAGACAGACACATGAGTGACACTTGAGGTCGTTCTCTCAGCTTCTCACATGCATGTTACATACGTGTGCTTGCGCACATACAAACAGAAACATAAAACCCCTGAATAATTTATTTTTGTATAATAAACATTTGAATAAAATTAAGGTTTTGGCTTTGAGTGTGCACGTGTCACTATGGAAACCAAACCCAGGCACTTGTTTCTTAAGTACTGACTCAGGCCTTGGGTCTGTGAAGCAGGAAGAGGCCTAGCTTCCTCCTACACCACACTGCGGCCAGAGGCTTCCTTCTCCAGGCAAGCCAAAGCCTAGATTCCTTAGACTGCACAACCATGGAGACTTTATGTAGCTAGCAGGTGCACTCCACAAGGACAAGGCCACTCCTTGTGGTCACGGTGAGTGCTGAGGACAAGCAGGGCCTGGGCAGTGGCAAATGTAGTCCCCTTGCTCCTGAAACTTCTAATTCTGAAAGGATTCAAACCCAGCAGCACTGAAGGAGGAAGCTGGCGGTGCCAGGACACCCTTTACCTTGATTCCCAGATGGTATAGTACCGTGGCAAGCTTGAGGGCACAGTCTTTACAGAATGCCTGAGCTGTTTAGACATCAGAGACACAGTCTCTAGAAGCTTTGGCAGGTATTTCCTCCTCCACAGAAGAGACACATCTTCCCAATAACTACAGTAGCCTCACCTGCTAGGAACTTGACATCTATTTGATGATGGCATTTAAAAAAAAATTACATATCATGCTTGCCATTCACCACTAAATGTCACCAGAGGTGGCAAACCATCCTCTATAGTTTTGTGGGTGTTTTACCCTGGTCTGTTCCCCATGGAGGTTCCATTTTTACTTCCCTCCCCCACCTTTTGTTTCTGAGTCAGGATTTTGCTATGTATCTCCGGGTGGCCCAGAATTCACTAGGTAGCCCAGGCTGGCCTTGAATTTGTTCAATCTTGCCTTGGCCTCCTGAGTTTTAGAGTTACATGGAGTCACCATGCCCAGTGGGTTCCATATTTTAATACCATGCCCTGCCCTCGTTCAGTGAGACACAACATCATCCTAAGAGGCATGTTTGCCATTGCCTGCTTGTCCTCAACATTCCCTGTGTGACCACAAAGGAACAATCTTGTCCCTGGGGAATACACCCAGTACATAAGGTGTCCAAGGTCTTGCTGTTCTAGGAATCTGTGAATGACTTGTTCACACTGCTAGGAAATGAGTTCTTCCTGCTCTTCATGCCTGTGGTCATTGGGTGGTTTTACCAAGATGATGGATCTGGCATAGCCAACTGGGGGCATCCGGCACTCCCCACTGTGGAAAGACGTTTCATTACCTCATGGAGAAGCAGTGTGACTTGACCACAACGGCAAACAGGGATAGAAGACCAATGTGACACAAACTGTCTCCACATGAGCACACTCACCATGGGGGCAAAGGGGACTTCGGGCCATATTCTCCTTTGCTCAGGCTCCTTCAGGTTTCCTAAGACAGTACCTGAGCCTAGCACAGGGATGAGCTTTGAAACTCACGTGCATGCGCACACACCACCTTTGTGCCAATGTCACTGCTCGGAAGACCTCAGCAGGCACACACAGTAGCACACATTACACTGAGTCCTCATGCAGAGCACATGGTCCCCAGGCTTACATTCGGACTCCTGGTGCAACAAATGAGGCCTGGGTGCAGATGATGGAGAGGGAGAGGTCTGTGGATCTTAGGGACTAGGACAGTAGAGAGCTACCATCGTGCCCAGGGAGACTGGCCAGATGAATGGAGAACAAGATAAGAGTGTACTGACTTTTTCTAGTCTGTTGAGTTATTAAAAGAGGAACCAAGTCAGACTGGAGGACGGGGCTGGAACAGGAAGACACTACTTCGGGGAACAGACACATAGTAGGTGCAGAGCTACCACAGCCTGCCCTGGTTGGTTTACACTTCAAGGCTCTTGACTGAGGAGATGACTGAAGTCCAAGCCATGTCAAAAAGGTACACGAGGGAGTGGTCACTGGTAGATTGCCCATGTCTCAGTGGATGACCCATACCAACACCTCTGACTAATGCTGCTTCAGGGTCAATTCTTAAACAAATCACCAGAGAGCGAGCATGACTAGGCCTACTCCTGATGGAACCACCTGGCTTACCCCCACTCCATGCCTGGTGCCCAGTCCATACTTGCATGACTCCAAGCAGTACGTCAGCTCTTCTCCCATTGGCCCTGACAGACTCTGCTCATGGTGTAAATACTCGGGGCAGGCTGCTAACCGACAGAGTACCCTGGCTTCTTCAGACTGGGGCGATACTCCCTCCTACCTGCTGATTTCAAAGGCCGGAGAGACCTCTCTGTGGTTTTTGCTGTTGGCTGTGGCTGGCAGAACACTCCAATGTCTGGCCGCTACAAGACCAGAGCAGGCACTGGCTCTCCACCCTGGCTTCAGACTGCCTTTCATAGCCTGCTGTTCTATCAGAGAATGAACTGATGCTTTGCCACCCTCTCTCTGAAGCCCTTCAGGGACTGGGCCCACCCACCTCTCGTTTGGACTTCTGGGAAGACCTCTCAAGGATGTCATCACTGGACAGGTCTGAGTCCTCTGAGAAACTCAGCTGGCGCCGGAGATGCAGCTCTGTTGGGTGAAGGAAATCCAAGTGAAACCGGCAGCCTGTATGTACTCCATGAACCCACGCTGCGGGAAGTCAGCCACAGGCGGGTCTCTAAAAGATCCTACACAAGGATTCCTCTTCCTACACAAGGAAATATGAGCTTGTCCCCAAAGGTGATGGGCCCAACACCAAACAAATGACACCCTAGACACCTGCTCAAGACCCCTTGGCAGGACTCTCTGCTCCACTCAAAATCAGGCACATGTATGGGGTCACGTGACTCTGGCAAGGTTACCAACAAGAATCTACCCTACTGAGTTTCAAGTTGGCAGGTGCCTTGCTTCATACAGCAGGCCAGGCTGAGGTGCATGTGGCTTGTTCCCTCTCCTAAGAATCCCTGTGGGAGCAGCCCAGGAAAGTGGATCTTTGTGAGCTGAATGTCTAGGGAGGCACTCCTCACACCCGTCCTGTGAGTATCCCCTGGCCACGCTTACCTGGTCTCACCATTGGAGATGCCCTGCGCTGGCCAGAGTCCACTGTGGCGCCACTGGACGGTGTACTGGAGCATGATTTCTCATCGCTCTTCTTCTTCTTGTCCTTCTTGTACCCAGAGAAGACTGATTTCCACAGGGACTTGGGCTTAGCTGCCACGTCTTCTGGGAGGCTTGGGCTGGGTTTCTCTGGGGGCCTGGCTTCCCCTTTGGGTTTTTTCTCTTTCTTGTTCCTGCGGGGGGAGAAGAGGGACGACCTCTTTTTGCTCTTTCCACTGGAGCCCTCGGATGAGGTGACAGAGCCATCAGGGCCTCCTGAGTCTGACGGAGGGGAGAGGATCTCTTCGCTGGTGGCTTCATGCTTCAGGGTAGGCTCCTGGGACCCTCGGAGGCGTGGGTGTTTGGTGGACCCGGACCCTAGTTCCTTGCCCTGGGATGGCGCTGTGCGGGACCTGGAGGACGCTGTCTCCATGGCCTGCATCCTGCTCAGCTGTTTGGCCATGGCATCTCGCAGTGCCTGGCTCTTCACAGACTTCTCCCTGGCTCGCATGCGCTCCTCAGCCAGCTCCTTGGCTTCTGCCGAGACCAGAGGCAGTCCCCTTTTCTGGGGTTGCACATCATGCTCCAGGGGAGGGAGCCGCCCGTTCTCCTTGTTCAGGAGCTTCTCTGAACGGGACCAGCAGGACGGGGGTGTGAAGAACTTCTCCTGCAGACTGGAGTCTTCGGTCTTATCATCGTAAGTGTCCTCCACATCATCAGCAAAGGGGATCTCATCCACACTCTCCACAAAGGACTTCCGGACCTCCTCCCTGGGGGGCTGGGCTGGCTCCCGTGGGGGCCGCATGAATGAGGCAGGGGTGGGAGGTGGGATAACTGAGGCCTCCCTGTGCTCCAAAGTCTGATGGGGTTTCCTTCGAAGGGTTGCAGGCTCCTCGTTGGGGGGTGGGGGTGGGGGTGGGCTGGAAGGGGGAGTGAGCATGGTGGAGTCTGAAGTGTTGAAGCTCTGGCTGCCCAAGGTCTTCATGTTGGAGGAGCTGCCATGGAGGCCCAGGCCCGAGCTGCTAGACAGGTCCCTTCGTTCCTCCTGGTTGTTCCTCAGCTCCTTGTCAGAGGGCGACTTTGGGGTCAGCAGTGGGGGCTGGTCACCAGCTGACTTTGGCAGGCCCAACCTTTTAGGAACAGGTGGAGGTTTCAGAAGGGAGAGACCCTCATCCTGAGGCGACTTTTCAACTGAGTAGGACTTTAGGGATATTGGCTTCAAGGCAGGGGATGGGAGGCTGGGCTCTGACCCCTTATTCCGGTCCACAGGAGTAAGGCCCAGGCTGCGGCGGATCTCAGCACTCTTCATCCAGAATTCTTCCACCAGATCACTCCGCTTCATGGCCTCCTCCACAGCCAGAGGGCCACTTAGTCTGTCTTTGGGGTCTCCTTGGCTCTTCACAGGGAGTGGAGTGAGGGGTGTGGATGTTTTGGCTGGCACCGGCTGGAAGCGTATGGGGGACTTGGTGGGTGACGGGATAGAAGCATCCGAGGAAGGCTGAGGTTGGGAACAGATGGGGAGTTGGGTGGAGGGAGGTGTGGGAGGAGTGGGAGGGGCCAGCAGAGACTCTGGCTTTAAGCTGGTGGGTGAGGTAGGCGACCTGGCTTCTGGCAGGGCCACAGGCTGTGATCGGATGGGCGAGCGCACAGTTTTCTGTTCTTCAGGGGTGTCAGCTTTGGGCTTTTCTCTCAGGAGCAGAGGTTCAGGGAAAAGTGGCTCCTCGGGGGACTTAACCTTGGTGGTGATGGAGGCAAGTGGGGACTTGGCCTCCTACACAGAAAGAAAAGAACAGAGGCTCAGAGATGAGGGTTTCAGAAGCCAGCACCTTCTCTCAGGTGGCCTTCTCAAAGGGCCTGCATTTACTGAAATAAAATCCTCTCCATCCCTTGGCCATTATTCACAGAGCTGCAGGAGAAGCTTCCTCATTTTCTGCTCTACTTGCTAACTTTTTAAGTCCTCTCTGCTTAGCTTGGACAGCCTGAGCTTCCAGGGTTGGTTCAGCTCACACACATCCTTGCTTCTTGGTCCACTCACACGAACACTGGCCAAGGGGGCTAATGAATTTGGCTTTCATCCCAACCCACAATAACTAGAGCTCTGGGGTTCCCTGAGCCACTAACATGCTTAGCGCAGCCTGCTCCTGTCACACTGTCCCTCTGAGCAATCATACACAGACATTTATAACACCGCTCTGGTTCTTCTAAGCTTAACTATTGGAGCATGCCATGTTTCCGGAGCCAAGGGCTGGGTTTGGATTCCTTCCTGGTCTGCCCTGCACATGGTACTTCCCAGACTAAGGACCTCAGACGTTAGCTGGACATGGGTCATTCTCTAAAGTGTCACACACTGTTGGTGATCTAGAGATATACTTTTCATTTAAGTAGTTACATATTTATTTTACCTAAGGAAAAAATATGCCCGTTATAAACCTACAGATACATAAATATCATTGCATTGACTTAAAAATAAACTTGCCCATCCACAAGGACTGAGGCAGCAGCTGCAGCCTGCACCTCCTCAGTGGCCTTACCTAGCACAAGATATGACGTTTTTAGAATTTCACAAAATAGGGTGGCTACAGGGCTATATCTCCTCTTTGTCACCATGGGCCCTAAGATGGAGTTTCTTCAAGGTCCTACCTAAGGTCCCATTGACACCCCCCCACCCCCTCAGGACTACTTACCTCTGTTCCAGGGCTGTGGGCTGGGGAGAACAGAGCAGCTTGTCTCTGAGGTGGCTGGCTAGGGCTGGAGACTTGAGAAAGAGCTGGAAAGGAGGGAACACAAGGGTTTATAAAAGAAGTTAAGTCCCTTCCACTCTACAGGAGTTAGGGTGCAGTCATCTCCATGGAGAGTCTTCCACTATAGCCAGCCCCTTGCTGAGGGAGGAGAGCTGGGACTCAGGTTAACTTGCGCTGTGTTGGGTCTGCCCTCAGGCTATTCAAGACAAAAGTCAAGTTGACTGCCCATACCCAGGGTGGTCCTGCAGCTGGCACCCTGGTAATTATATGTGGCGGCTATGATCTGGGTCTCAAGCTTTGTGAAGTGCCTTTGGTCTTCCCACACTCTCAACAGCCCAACGACAGGTACTACTGTCTCAGGCTGTTTGTAGAGAGCTGTGGCCCCAGACAGGCAAGGGCAAGGACAGGGATGGTCGGGGCTACTGCTGGGCACCATAGGCTGTATTCTGAAGGCCGTCTCTGGTATTATGAACATGCCCCTGCGGGCTCTGGTGTTCTGGAAGTCATTCCTCCTACCCCCTACCTCTTTCCTCTTGTTTTGGTGGATCAGATGGCTTCTCTTCTTCGTTTTCTGACACTCTCAGCTCCAGCTTGGCTTTTGCCTCAGCCTGGCTCTGTAGCCGGTGTTCCGTCTCAGCGTCAGAAGGGATATCATCAGACCAGTGCTGATCTGAAGGATGTGGGCGAGACACAAGCTTTTACACATTTTGAGCTCTGGATGCGTTCCTTTTCTGTGTCTTGCTTCCTTAGAGAGTTGCTCAATCCACTGTGGCATGAGGGTCTGAACTAGGCTCGGCAGTCCCTGCAAAGCAAGCCTCTTACCAGGCCTGATTTGACGCTAAGCATCTTGTCTTCTGAGTTTGAAGTTTGCAGAAACCTGTGGTGCTTTTCCTTTTGTTGTGTGCAGGAATGTGTGTGTATGGTATGTATGTATGGTGTGTGTGTGTAGTGTATGTTTGTGAGTGGTGTATGTGTGTGTATGGTATGTGTGTAGGTATAGTGTGTGTGTGTCCTCATCTGTTTGTTGTGTGGGGTGTGTATGTTGCGTGTGTATGCTGCATGTGTATGCTGCATGTGTATATGGTGTATACACGTGTATCTTCATCTGCGTGATGGTCAGAGGCTGACACTAGGTGCTTTGCGTTGCTCTTCACTTTCTCACTGAACCTGGAGCCTGCCTTTCAGCTTGACTGTTGGCCTGTGAGCCCCTGAGGTCATCCTGTCTCCACCCTCCTCCATGCATGGCTTTTACAAGGGAGTTAAGCACCCCTGCTTGTGCAGAAGATACTACACCGAGTCTCTGTAGTGACCCCCCCCCTCACGTAGTGATTGTGACATAACAGGCTGTGACAGAAAAGCAAAGTCAAAAAATCCTTTGGGGGTGCCAGTGGACTTATCTTCCCTTTTCTCTTGCTAGTCTCAGAATCTCCCCGTTTGCCCCTCACCTTCCTCCCTAGACTTTCACTGTAAAGTATCTTTTGTGAGTCCCACCCACTCTGGTCCTGTCCACCGAGGTGTAACAGGAGGTCACAGAGGTGGAGAAGGGAGGCTGGGCCCCATACCATCCAGTTCAGCACCGGTGTCTCCAGGGTCTCCATCCTCTGCAGCTTCCCCCTCCGTCTCCGCTGGCTCCGAGTCCACGTCCTCCTCTAGGTCATCTTCATCCAGAGGAACTGTAAAGCAGAGATATTCAAGGACAAGAGGAAAGGGACAGACAGACAAATGCCTATGCAGGGCCCAAGAAGACAGTAATGCATAGGCCATGGGGAGAAAGGAGGCCCCCCCCATAACATGGAACACACTCTACAAGCAGTGTGGGTGTCACGGCCATGTGTCCACTCTAGGAGGGCCAAGTAGAGGCAGGAGAGAGGCTTCTGGCCTGGAGGTATCACCTTTTCCCCAGAGGCTGCCATTATGAGTTCCTCAAGTCAGTCATAATCAAGGGATGCTGTGAGGCCATCACCGTTGCTTCTAACGGTGCCTACACAACAGGCCCAGTGCTGGCCCCTGATGTGCCAGAGGGCCCTGTTCCTCATGTCCACCTTTGGGTGACAGAGCTTGGGTCTGAGGGTCATACGTCTCACACAGGGCTGTGCTGTGAACCCACATGTGGAGGCCGATGCTTTTCCAGAGACAATTTAGAGGAGTTTATTGAAGCAGGAGGGTGGACCTGAGGGGCTATGTAAAGATTCCGTTCTGCCAGGCGTGGTGCTGCACACATTTAATTCCAGCACACAGGAAGGAGAGGCAGGTAGATCTCTGAGTTTGAGGCCAGCCTGGTCTACAAAAGCAAATTCTAGGACAGCCAGAGGTATACAGAAAAACTCTGTCTTGAAGAAAGCATTAAAAAAAAAAAAGCCCTTTCTGGGCTCAAGAATTGCTCTTTGGGGCTGCAAGACAAAGCAAGGGGCACTCATCCCGTTTTATCTACCCTGAGGTGGACAGTCCGAGTTTGTACACCACCTGGCTCTTGCCTGTGTTAGCCGAGGCTCTACTGACGGTACAGAAGCAGAGCAGGGAGGAGGAGGCTCTGCCTAGGATGCTGTCAGCCTGAGGGTGATAGTTTGTGTTTTGGGGATTTGGGTTTTCTCAAAGCTGAGCTGAGAGTGGGAGGGGCCAAGTCAGCACAGGCCACTGAGCTCACGTGGTGACAAAAGTTGAGAAAGAGGCTCAAAGAGGGGGTTTGATGCGGGGTGTGGGGGGCAGGGGGACTATGAGGAGGAAGCAGTCCTGTGAGTTCTGCTTTCTTTAATCCCTACATTGTACACTTTTTTGCACACTTACTTTTAATGCAACTCACAGGACTTTTTTTTTCTTTTTTTTCTTTTTTTTGTCTTTTAAAGACAAGGTCTCACTATGTAGCTCTGGCTGGCTGGGAACTGGCTGTGTGTAGACAAGGCTGGCCTTGAACTCAGAGAGCCTGCCTCTGCCTCCTGATGAGAGGCATGTACCCAGATGAACTTTTTCAAAGCTGAAACTGGAGAACTATGGCAAACAAGATTGGAAAAACTGCAGACAGCCCAGGGTTTACGAAGGAGTGGCTGCACTCCAGGTAAAGTTCTGGGCTCCTGAACCTCACCACCTGCTTGCTCTTTCTGAGATACCAGCACCATCCAGGGAGTGGGCAGTGCCAAAGTACTCTCTTATGCCGATGGCATTTGCTAGGACAGAGAAGGGAGAGAAAATCAAGTGTCCCCACAGGTCTAAAACTTTCCAGTGATCTTCCTGTTTTGGGACACTCATGGGAGACAATCACCAGGGAATGTGTGACTATGATTCTGGGGACACAAACACCTACTGAACAACAACCCTGGGTCCAGCTTCAAAACGAAGCTTTGTACTTTAATGGTGAGGTCATCCTTGTATACTCCGCCATGTAGAATAAGAGGCCACTGGAAACAGATTCTGGACCTATTCTGGAGGGCCCTTGTGCCATCGAGGTGGTAACCACATTCTCTCTGGCAAGAAAGTTGGAAACACTATAAAGGAGACCACTCCCCAGTTCCCCAGGCTGGCCCAGCCTGGTCCTGGTCTCTTGTTCCTTCCCACAGTTTTCCTACTAAGAAACATCTGACGTAGAGTCGAAAGGGTGGGGGTGTTTCTACACTCCTGGGAATACCTGGAAAGAAACGATGGTCACACATATCAAGAAGCAGACACTTGAGAGCTACTGTGCAGCGGTAGCGGATGTGTGCTGAGACACAGCTAGAGCAATGGAACTGAGGGATGGAACTCTTGTTAGGATGGAGCACTGCGCTGGAAGCGGCCACACAAGTGAGGAGCAGCCACACGCTATGGAAGCCGGGAGTCACCGTTTACTGTAGCTGCCTGTTAGGACATCCTTCCTCCTCAGCCTCCTTCTTCTAGCTCAAAGGGTGATAATAACTCAGCATTAGCTAGACTAGACTGAATCCTTTCCCATCACACATGTCCGCTTTCAGCTGCTGGTGGACAATGGGGGTAAAGTCGGTAAAGATCCTCAAGCGTCACCCTTACTGGTCTCAGAAGTCACCCCCAGGACATCAGTTCCCAACCAGTGGGGGACGCTGTCTCCTTTTTTTTTTTTTTTTTTTTTTGGTTTTCCGAGACAGGGTTTCTCTGTGTAGCCCTGGCTGTCCTGGAACTCACTCTGTAGACCAGGCTGGCCTCGAACTCAGAAATCCACCTGCCTCTGCCTCCCAAGTGCTGGGATTAAAGGCGTGCGCCACCACCGCCCGGCGACGCTGTCTCCTTTATGGGGTATGTGGGATTAGATGGAGACTGTTCAGCGCTGAGGACAGAAGCCGAGGACTAGGTATCCTGCAGTGAGAAGGACTGTTCTTCCCCAAATGCCAAGCATCGATCCTTGAGAAAAAGGTTTCTAGTAAAACAAGTAAGGATAGCTGAGACTTTTCAGGCCATCTTTGGCCTGTATAGCTTTGTCTGGGACCCAGCTTTGCTGCCATGTCTTGTACAGCTTAGCCATGCCCACCGCTCCTCACAGCTCCTCTTAGGCAAACTTTGCAGGAATTCCTGTTTTGATTGCTCCTCTGACACACTGTAGGTTTGTGGGACAGTATCTGATTTCACTCCACATCCACCGCTACCCAACTTCACTTCTATGGGTTTAAGACTTCAGTGTAAAAAGCTTCCTTCCCTCTTGGGTTTCACAGCCAGCTACTAACGATCATTTCTAAGAGGTGTGACTCCATCCTATCTCCACTGTTGGGTCTCCAGGCTGCCTGAGGATGGAGGATGCACTTCTGGTCCATGCACAGATGGGCTGTCTGACAAAGCATGCACGAATCCCACCCCACTGGCTTTGCCCTCGCATGCACCAGCGACAGGAGCTGAGTCCTAGAGTTAAGGCACCAGCAGAGCCGCCTAGAGAAAGAGGTTATAATGAATGGGGGGGCGGGGGGTGTCAAATATCATCAGACTACCTCCGGAGACAGTATCCAGCCAGGCCTGTACTGCTGCGCGGCGTACGGAGGGAAGGCCGGTCACTGAATTTAAAACAGATGATAAATGCAAAATTAAACATTGGTAAGTTCTCAGCAGGGAGAGCTGAAGTCTGTCCTAAAATTCAAAACAGAGGAAGAGGAACAGAGACATCATTAGACAGACAGCCAAGTGGTACTAACACAGGGTGTGTATGTGTGTTCCAATGCTGGCCTTTGGGACAGGTATTTGGATAAGGAGAAAAGACAGAACTTGAGAGAGGGCAGCTTTAGCTAGGGCTGCGGACTTGTCCTTGTCCCCATCTTGCGGGTCATCTTGATGTCCTAGAGGAATAAAACATCACACAAAACCCCAAGCTTTCCCATGGATCAGAAGTGATCTTCTAAGGACACCAAGCCTGACAAGGCAAGCAGCCCTGGGAGGCACTGCCCCAGCCAGAGACAGTGATGCCACCAAGGGTCCTTACATGGAAGACGGGAGTCAAAGAGAATGACATATGATCACCACAACTCTAGCTGCGCTTTGCTCTCTTTTTATTGTTATTCCTTAGAAGAAGCCAGAGCCAGGGTATGAGGGGTAGATCTGTAAGGTCAGCTGCTCTGGAGGCTGAGGCAGGAGGATCTTGAGTTCAAGGTCAGCCTGGCTAGCTTAGTGAGTTTGTCTAAAAACATAGAAAGAAAGAAAGAAAGAAAGAAAGAAAGAAAGAAAGAAAGAAAGAAAGGAAGGAAGGAAGGAAGGAAGGAAGGAAGGAAGGAAGGAAGGAAGGAAGGAAGGAAGGAAGGAAGGAAAGAAGGAAGGAAAGGAAGGGAAGACAGAAAGAAAGAAATCAAAAAAAAAAAAAAGAAAAGAAAAAAAAGCCAGGCATGGTAGTGCACACCATTAATCCCAGTACTCAGGGGGCAGAAAAAGGGCAGGTCTTTGTGAATCTGAGGCCAGCCTGGTCTACACAGCAAGTTCCAGGCCAACCAGGGCTACACAGTGAGACCCTGTTTTAAGCAAACAAATAAGAAAGGAACCAGAATAAATTCCATGGCGACCCGAGGTACTCTGTGTGTTCCTCCTTACTTTGACTCCCAAATACACTCCCCTCTCTCGTCCTGACATGCACTCATGCAACACCCACTCTGAACATACTCTGAGGAGGGACAAAGAGTGCCCTGCTGAGAAACACAGAAGACAGCAAAGTCTAGGTCTTTTGAGTCAGGTCCATATTCCTGCTTTGCCTCAGAACTCAGAGAACTTTACATATTCTTGAATGACAGGCAAGGACAGTGGTCCCCCTGCAGACAAAGCCTCTGCAGCCACTGGAGGGGCTGAAAATGGGGGCTCAGGACACACATTGGACTCTGGGACTCGAAGCAGTTACCTCTAGAAGTGGAGGACTCAGAGGCTGGGAGCGTCCTCTCCTCTGCCTCTCTCTCACGGATGTGTGTCCAGTGCACATCAGCCTGGATCGCCAAAGGATCCACTGCGGTTATGATCTGTTGCAGCCTCTTGTTCCCGGCTAGGGAGCCAGGTCCCCAGGAAGGAGGGTAGAGGGAAGACAGGAGGGACCAGCAAACAGTCAAGGGAAGGAGAGAGGAGACAGGACAGGAAATGAAACAGAGTTACAGTGTTTGCCAGGCCCAGTGTGAATAAGAAAGAGGTAAAAATTGAGAACATGCATGTTTAAATGTGTGCACACATGTGCACACATGCACACATGAACATACACACACACACACACACACACACACACACACACACCTTCTGTTAGTTAGGTTTGATTTAGTCATTTTGAGCTTCACATAAACTTCTTAGTACAGTGAAATCCACACTCCACCTCCAAATGCAGAAGGAATTTTTCCTTTCCATCATGAAATGGATCTGAGGCCCACACTGCCCAGGGTGGAACAGGGTGGACAACCCTCACCTTATAGGACCACCACGCCGAGGCCCCAGGATGTGGCTGTTACCTAGCACAGCCTGAGCTCCCGAGGACACCCTTCCTGTCAGTCACAGGTGGGCTAGGATGGTGTACCACTCTGCCAGGAGCCAGCCAACTAACCAGGACAGACGGGTGCGCTGCTGGAACTTTCATTTTTACCCTCTGCAGTAAAGCTGCTGCTGGGGAAGAAAAGCCCTTGGGCCAGAGAGCACATGCTGCATGCTGGCATGGTGGTGGGAGCATTGACATAGGGGACGTGGTCGGCATGGAGGGTGGGGACAGCAGCTGAAGATGAAGCAGAGATCTGTCCTGTGAAGTCTGGAACTCCAGCATTCAGGCAGGACTGAGACCAAAACCTCTTCCCTACTGTGAGTGAAGCCCTTCCTTTCTTCCTTACAAACTGCATCGGAAGCCCTTCTGACCTCTCTGGGCACGAGATCTGCCTCTCAGCTATATAAAAACCCAGCAGCTCCCCCTGCATTCACTCTTGCTGCCAGAGCAGGTGGAATTCACATGCAGCCCCTGCCCCGAAGGACCCTCTCTCATTAGTGCTTGGGTCATGCCACATAGTAGGGTTAAGATAGCGGGACAGCCAGTAACTAAGGAGCGTGGGGGTGGGCACCAAGGAAGGAAGGGCAGCTATTCAGGCAGTAAGAGCAGGTGCCACCGATCTGAAGGACTCCAGCTTCCAACTGGAAGTGTATGTCTGTTCTCCCCTTGATAGCCTTAACTAGGTACCACCTGTCACTACCAGGGAAGCTTATAACTAAACCTAATAAAGATGTGGCATGGCATAAAAGCCAAGCAATTTCTCCAATGTGGAGGTTAAACTGTGCCATAATGTGTTGAGTTGGCTGCGCAGACTCTCTTACTGATCTATATGAATTTACAGCCCATCCCCAAAGACAGTCTGCCCAGATGGCACTGCTAAGGGCTGAATCCTGGCAAATGCACTAACAGCTTAGATGGGTCAGGACCTAGGAGGGTGAGGCCCAGAGAGAAAGGCTGCTCCTCTCTTTGGCTTCTAAGCCTCAGAGGGAAGAGTTGAGCCTTTTCTCTGAGGCTGTGCCTTCTGCCAGCACTTACAGACTTGTGGTGTGTGTGTGTGTGCTGTGTATGTGTGGTGTGTGTAGGTGTGTGTGGTATGCTGTGTGTGTGTATATGCTCTGTGTGTTGTGTGTGATATATATGTGTGTGCTGTATGTATGCTATGTGTATGTGTTGTGTGTATATATGTGGTATGTGGGTGGGTTGTATGGTTGTGTATGTGTGTTGTGTGTTGTATGTGTGTTGTGTACTGTATGTGTGTTGTATGTGTGCTGACTGTTGTATGTGTGTCGTGTACTGTATGTGTGTTGTATGTGTGCTGAATGTTGTATGTGTGCTGTGTGTGTATGGTGTATGTGTGTGTGTGGTGTGTGTGGTGTGTGAACGGAAGGGCTATCAGCAGCATGGAGACCCTGGGGTGAGACTGAAGAGCTAGGCAGTGAGGTTTAACTGGATAAAGGGAACTCAGAGTGAAAGCTACAGGACACAGGTGGGGTTACCGTCCATAAACCTTGTTCTCTGTCCTCTGGGGATCTGCTAACTCACATGCTCATCTGTGCTTTGTCTGGGGAAGCTGGGTTGGGGACAGGTGCCCAAGTATGCCCAGAGCCTTTGAGAACAGCTTTACAAAAAAGACCTTCCACGTGGGGCCTGCTCTTGGAGGCATATTTTAGATGGCTTCTTGGGAGCTGGGGTGGAAATGGCCAGGAGGCAAAGCGGGTACCTTCACATGTACCCATTTCTTCTTCCTTTGAGAGATGCTGGAGCCACTGGCCTTGCAGGAGTTCTCTGTCCCAGGGGCAGTACTCCCCTTCTACAGCAGGGGGAGCCAGACACCCACAGACAGCACCAAGAATCCCACAGGGGGACAGGTAGAAAAGGGAACAGAGGGAGGAAAGAGAAGAGAGAGCAAAGTTATGCCGCATGCAAGTGTGTCCTGCCACTCGTCCACACAGGCATCCAGGTCCTCAGCCTGTGGGCAAACTCCCGGAGTTGTGTTGGGGCTAAAGGCTGCTGAGTATTCACCATCACATGGAGTAGGCAAAATATGTTTTCCCATGGGAGCTCTGAAGGGCACAGACTCACCCCTTAGAGCATAGGGGAACTCTGGGCCAGCATGGTACTGCATACAGACAACAGAAAAACCATGCTCTGGCCAATGGCAGCCTTTCCAGCACAATCCCTCTTCCTGTCTCAGGAAACTCAGCCTAGATTCCACTTTGGCCTTCGGAGGAATCAGAGCAGGAGGGTGAGAGGGGTTGCTCTCTAGGGAAGCTGCCGACACCGCCAAGGGTTCTGACCCTGAGCATACTGGGACGGTCCATGGCAGCCCACAGAGTGCACAGAGCCCAAGGACAAGCAAGGTTGCTACAGTGAGCTAATTCTCTGTACCTGTGCTGTCTGGAATTTAACCTGCAACTCTGACGTGGGGCTGCAAAAACAAGGAAGGGGCGTACTCCGTCTGGCTCCATGTCCCAGGGAGCTAGATCTCTACCAGCCCTGGTTTCCTCCTTACCACCCACGGGCCCTCTGAAGCCAGGGAAAGACTGACATTCTTCCACAGCCAAGTTCCTGGAGTCTTCAGGTCACAGCCAGACAGGTGATGGACAGAGAAATCTCAGGCCCAAGTCAAGAGGAGTTTTAGAAGACTCCAGAGTGGCTGGACACTCAAACGAACATTCCTCAGGCCCCAAAGGTTACTGACTATTGTGGCCGGAGTTGGTCTAGTGAGCACCTAAGATCACAGCCTCCTGACACCCTGCACCAGGGGAGACTCCTGGAAGGAGCCAACTTCCTCTGTCTTACTATGATAAAGTTCTATATGAAGCCGAAGGGGAAAAGATAAGATGAAAAAGTAAAAGGAACTTAATTTGGACACAGTCCACAGATGAGCCCCGGCTTCCACTTCCAGATTAAAAAATACCAATGTGTGTGTGTGTGTGCGGTGTGTGTGTGGTATGTGTCCATGCGTGCACGTGTGTATGATTGTGTGTGTGTCTGTGGAAGGCGGTGACCAGGAGGAGGGCAGTGAACAGGATGTAAAGTGATAACTTAAAAAAATTATTAAAAATGAAAAAAAAACCCAATGTACACAAAGGACATCATTTTTTAGCTTGCCAGACACTGTATCTTGTTCTAAGATCGGAGTGAACGAGGGCCAGAAAACCCCAGGTCTTGAGGGCAGCATGCAGACTCTAATGTCTGTGAGACCTTGCATTCACACTGGCAAGAAGGTAAGACAGGTCAGGATTAGAGGAGACGGTTCTGACCTTCACTGGACTCCTCCTCTTCCTCCTCATCATATTCTTCATCCTCTTCTTCATATTCCTCTTCTTCGTCCTCTTCCTCAGGCTCGAAGTTCTTGGAGGCTTCTAGCTCTTCTTCACTCCGCCCCTTCAGAAGGGCATGGATCCTGACTGCCTCCTTCCAGGGAACCCCGCCCAGGTCAGAGGTGGGGAGTTGATCCTCTTCATCATCTTCCTCCTCCTCCTCCATCTCTGACTCAGAACTGCTGAGAGAAAGAAAGCACCCAGCTTGAGTGAAGGACTGACAGCAGGTGGAGATGGACGGTTCAGAGCCACAGTTGCAGGCAGCAGTTCCCAACAAAGCAAGGGAGAGGAAGCAGGTCAGGCCACCCTTCCCCATCTGGGGAAGGGACAAGAAGGAACGCACCAATGGGGCGGGACGACAGACACACATGTACAACACCTATGCAGACCCACCTGCCCCGTGGGGCCCAGAGGCTATTTCACTGCACACTCAAAATGGAGAGAAGGTCCTGGCTTGTCACTGTTCGGCTGGAGGAACTCAACTGGACTCTATACAAACTGGCTAGAACCTTCCAGTGACCACCATGGTGGATAGAGATGGGGAGGAAGCCCCAAGAGGCTGAACCAGCAGGCAGAAGTGTGAGTGTGTGTGTGTGTGTGTGTGTGTCTGTCTCTCTCTCTCTCTGCACGTGCGCGTGTGCTTGTGTGTATGTGGGGGGGGGGCACTGACTGAGGGTCCAATTCTCTATGTTCAAAGTGCACCCTCTCTATGGAGCATGCCACACAGGTGAAGTGCAGTCAAGGCCCATACCCAGCACAGGGATAGCAGGACCCCTGGAAAAGGCCCCACCTCCTGGGCCTTGCTCATTCTCCTCATCTGTTCCCAGCACAGCACAAGGCCAGCTCTGCTTGGGATATGAGCAAGTGCTACATTCACTAACTGCTGCAGACAAAGACTCAACCTCCGTTCTGACTCACACCCTGCCAACGAGGTCCAATGACATGCAGGAGCCAGTCATATGTGGCCTTGCAAAAGAGGTTTCCAGTTTGTTTCAGAGTCGTGAGACTCTGTCCTCTGAAGTACACACTGGACCAGGCTGGAGAAAAATCCATCGTTACAACGAAACACAGGACTGAACTCTGGGCCTAAGGCTGCACAGGGATGGGGAGTCGGGTGGCTGGCGAGACTCAGTCTCCTGTGAAGGTGGGGTTAGCTTCTCACGAGCCCCTTTGTATATGGGGGTGAGTCAAAGCACACACTGGAAGGCAGGCAATGGTGCTCATTTGTGGAGGGAGCTCTGTCTGATGGGGGGATCTACAGTGAAGTCTGGCCACACACTACGTCTGAATATAGGGACTGGTCACACTAGGAAAACCAAAGACTTTTTTACCCCAGTGGAAAAAAGGGGGGGCTTCAGGTTGACCTGAAGACTAGATCAACCACATAGACTATCAAAAATCACTATGCATATAATGGAGACCCAATAAAAACCTCAAAGCTCCAGTGAATGTGACATCACACATGGAAACCAGGACAAGAACCGTGACTCCACCGGAACAGGACAGTGAACTCTCTGAATCTCCTAGCTTCCTGGACTCCTCACGAGAAAGTCTTTCCACGTTGGAGGCCTAAGCCTCTGCAGCCTTCCTCGCACTGTATAGGCCCTAGTCCGAGAGTGTCAGCTTCCAGCAAGTTCTGGGTCCCTCTCGTGTGGCTGAGTCTCATGGTGCTTCTGGCAAACTCCTGGACTTATGAGCTGGGTCAGAAATGAGGACGCATTCCCTCTTGTTGGCTGACTAACTCTCACAGGGGACACACTGACAGTGTCTCTACTGTCTGTGTATGTCCACCCCTACCCTGCCTCTGTTCTAGCAAGTCAATCAGTAATGATCCTCCCCCGAACTACAACAGGGCCTAGCCATGAGCAGGACAGCTTCCAGCAAGTTCTGAGTACCTCTTAAGCAGCTGAGCCTCATGAGGCTGTGGTCTTCAACAGACAGGCCATGCCATGTGAAGCCTAGGGATCGTGGACAGTTTCTTACACTGTTTACAGATGCTCACAATCTCATTCATTTGTGAGTTCTTTTTACTCCTGAGGTAGAGTCTCACTATGTAGCCCAGGCTGGTCTGAATCTTCAGTCCTCTTGAGTGCTTGGGTTATAGGTGTGTACTACCATATACATCTCAAAGAACACTCTGAGACCTGCTACAATTCCGCCAATGGACACACACTCTCAGCTAAGGTAGAACAGTCTTCTACTTGTATCGGACTCTCTGACTACTGGGAATGGCAAAGGTGACCCAGGAAAGACCATGCATATCGTAAGGTGCTGTTGAGGTGTGTGTGGCAGAGACCTGGGAGGAAGTGGTTTAAAGTGTAAACCTAAGAATCTGGCTGGGCATGGTGGTGCATGCCTGTAATGCCAGAACTTGGCAGGCAGAGACAAGGGTCACCGCATGTTCAAGGCTAGCCTGTTCCAGGCCAGCCAGGGCTATAGAGTGAGACCATGTCTTAAAACACACAAGGAAAGAGGGACAATATGAAGAAATAACAGAAAGCCTGGCATCTGAATTCTGAACGTTTCCACTCTTGGCTTATGGGTTTTCATTAGCTTCCCTTGTTACTGAAGTGTGCTGTCAGTGCTGCTTAGTCCTGCTCGTATCTGAAGGGAGGACATGGAGACCTCTGCACTCATCTTAAATTTTCTGTCCCTCCACCTCAGTGTGCCCAGGGGCTTGTCCAGACAGGCTGGGAGGGATCGTGCCTGACGTCCCAAGAGAGGGGCCTGTGTGCAGCCTGACCTCGCCCATGCCGTGTTATTAGGATGGCTGTACTGGGCATATATGAATATGTCCCTCTGTGATGAAGACAATGAAGCCCCATGATGGCTGTTAGTGCCACGACAGCTAGTTTTATGACAGCTCAGAGGTGGTGAGAGCCGAAAGGTCAGCCCCCGCTTCCCTCTAGTGGCTGGCTGTAAGCGTAAGCATCTGCAAGAAGCCTTTGTCTGTTTCTGTAGAGCAGCCTCCCAAACTGCAGGAAGAGCAGAGAGAGACCCACAGGAGCTACTAGAAGCTTCTTTCCGGCCAACTCTACCACAGGACCTTAGGGCTAATTTGGGGGCTGCCCAGCTCTTATGTCACACAAGAATCAAGGTGTAAATTCAGGGCCTCGTGCATGCCTGGCAAGCATGGTACCACTGAGCTACACTCAGCCTCAAGGCTCACTTTAGATTTCCCTGTTTACCCAGGCGCCTGTTGAGGCTGGGAGTTGAGGGTGAACCCGCAGAAGGCTGGGCCACCTTGGACTATAGCATGGACACTTTTTAAGTGAGGAGGATCCACACAGTAGCAAAAATCCAACAGAAACATTCACCTTCCTTCTTTCTAGCAAAGAGATACGGTCACCTAGGAGGGATGGGGACCAGGGAGGCCTAGGTAGGAGAACAAGAGGTTCAAGGCCTGCCTAAATTACATAGCGAGTTTAAGGCCAGCCTGGGCAACTGAGTGAGACCCCCATCTCAAAATAGGAAGCTAAAAAAAAGAGACTGGGAGTATAATTCAGTTCGGAGTACTTGCCTAGCATGCACAAGCCATGAGCTCAATGCCTGAAGCACAGGGTACTTCCTGTGGAGGCACCCTTCCGTAATTCAGGGCATTTCCTCTGACCACTCTGCTGTACAGCTGCTCTTATGGCCGAGCATGTCTAACTAAGGCACACAGGAGTCAGGACTTCCAGCCCTATCCCCAGGCTCTTCAGTGCTTCCCCCAGAACTCAGCAATGACTCAGAACCAGCAGCTGTCAGGGTGGGATGTGCAGGAATTTGGTTCAGATGCACAGCTCTGAAAAGACAGATCTTATTCCCTGGGATTCTCTCTCTCCCTGGCTTCTTTCCCTCCCTGCCCTGTTTCTCTCTCCTTCTTCTGGGCCTTACGTAGTCCACGCTGGCCTCAAATTCGCTATGTAGCACGAATGACCTTGGACTTTGGTGCTATACTAACTGAGCCACATCCTCAGCTCCTTCCCGCCACTGTTGGAGGGAAACAGGAAACAGAGAATGACTTTGACCCTTAGGTTAAGCTTCTCCCATTCAGGGACTGCAGTCTGCTCTCCACACCCTTGGATCCCACTGGCCCTGACAATACTTGCTGCCAAGCAGGGGGCCTAAGAAGGCACACAGTGTTCTCTATACTCATTCTGTGGAAATCCCACATGTGTGTCATCCAGGACCTGCGCCCCTCACTAATTGTTGGAAGAGGGGCTAAAGCCAAAAGAAAGGGGCACACAGGATTCCTGTTCACTCATGGTCTGCTTAGACAGTGGTCTTTCCTCTCCTTACTCTCTTGATGCCATCAACTTTGGGGAGACCTCTGAAACCTTAACTGTCCTATCTGCCAAAGTTACATGTTTGCTCCAGGGGCTCACTGACTGGCTTTTGGCTTGTTTGCTTTATTTATTTATTTATTTATTTATCCATCTTTTCAGATTTATTTATCTTTTCTTTTTTTAAAAAATATTTTATTACCAATGTTTTACTCAACTATGTGTCTGATGTGACCAAGGAAGCCAGGCCAGGACATCAGATCCCCTGGGACAGGAGTTATATAGGGTTGTGCAACATGTCGGTGCTGGGAGTGGAACCCAGGTCCTTTGTAAGAACAGACAGTGCTCTTCACACTGAGCCAGCTTCCCAGCCCCAATTTAATCAAGTTTTTATGTCTGTTAGTGGTTTGAAAATCTGTGCATCACATGCATGCCTAGTGCCTTCAGACATCAGAAGAGGACGTCAGATCCCCTGGAACTGGAGTTACAGATGGCTGTGGCCACCATGTGGGTGCTGGGAATCGAACCTGAGTCCTCTGCAAGAGTTAACAAGTGGTCTTAAACATTGAGCCAATGGTCCAGCCTCTAAGTTTTCTTTTGAGCTATCAGAGAGTAGGCAATAAAGAATACAGCAGCTGGGCTGTGCACAGGCTACCTTCCTTAACATGGGGTTAGTTCTCCCTGGCCCTTAGACAACCTATCTCCCCTCACAATCACAACACACATGCACAGAGAGACAGAGAGACAGAAAGACAGACAGACAGACACATACACACACACACACACACACACAATATGTGCCACCTGAAGACTTCTTTCCCAGGAGTCAACAAGAAGTTAGACAGCTGATGAGACTGTGTCAAGGCTCTGTGACAGGGCTTAGGACCTGCATATACTATGTGAACCGAACCGTGGAGGTGATTATAAAAATCCCCCAGGATATCTGCTGACCCTGAAGACCCCAGACACTCTGGACACCAGTGTCCACAGCTTGCTGCGGACACTGGCATTACTGTTGAAGGCTCTCAGGTTGTCCCCAGAACTGGCTCTCAATCTAACCATCCGCTACACAGGTAGCTATGATACAGAGAGGCTGATATCAGCCTAGGCAGGGTGAGTCTGACCCAGGCAGGTTCTGGCGCTTACTCCACCTGGTGATGGAGACCAACACCCGCACCCCTGGCCTACTCCGCTAGGGGTGGGTACTGCACTGAGATGGGTGTGTCAGTAGTGACAGTTACAGCTGATGCTAATTTGTGACCACTGGGTACCAGGCATTCATATGTGTAATGTCCATAATAAGCTCAGGACACATCATGGCCTTTTCAGATGGGGAAACTGAGGCACACAGGACAAGAGATTTGTCTACAGTCAGTCGGTGGTAGAGCTGAGCTTCCAGTCCAGGTCTGATTCCACAGCCATGTTCTAAAATAGTATACCACACTGCTCAACAGAGATGGCTGAATCAAGTTCTCTGAACTGTGGGAGAACAAGCTCCTGGGCTGGACTGGGTGATTCACTCACTTATTCATTCATTCACTCATTCATTCATTCTTCCTTACTTTCTTTTTAAAGGCAAGGTCTCATATAACTCAAGTTGGCCTCTGCCCACACACACATGGGATTGCAAGCATGTACCGCCACGCTCAGCTTGGACAAGACGATTCTTAAAAGGATGTCTGTTCTTGTCTTCAGGGCTAACCCCTCACTAAGCAGGCTGAAGACTGTGAATGCACCTGAGTGAACTTGGTGCTACAGGGAAGATCACACAACACATCTGCACCAGGCATCTCACAGCTTCCCCAGGGAAGGGAGGCAAAACCCACCACTCCTGCTTCGATGCCCTCACTTCGATACGGGATATGGGTTATTATTGTCTTTCTTTTTAGTGTGTGGCTTCCCCCCCCCACCCCCCCACAGGGTTTTTCTGTATAGCCCGGGTTGTTCTAGAATTCACTCTGTAGACCAAACTGGCCTCAAACTCAGAGATCTACATACCTGTGCCTCCTAAGGGCTGGGATTAAAAGTGTGCACCACCAATGCCTGGATTTTTTTTTGTTTGTTTTTCCATTTTTATAAAAGACCTTCCAAGGACAGAAACCATGGTTTGAACATGCATGGTAAATGTGTTCCCGCCGAGTCACACCACTCCTACACTCTGACAATTTTTCTTTCTTTAATAGAATGTAAGTGTGCACCTTTATGTTAGATAAATGCTGGCTGCATATCTCGCCACAACACAACCTACGGTTAAGCCACCTGCTCTGCTCAAGGGTTTATCAATGTGCCTGGTGGAACTGCGGGACTGGCAATGAGACGGGAGTGTAGGGTATGTCCCTGTGGGCGCTTTGTATGCATTGCAGTCACGTGACTGAGGCCTCAGGTCAATGGAAAGCTGGGGAACTATATCAACAAGGGGGCTGCCTATGGGGCCAGCTCAAGGGTACCTTACCACAGTGCCTGCCCCAGATCGTTCTGCTGGGATTCGGCTGAAAGAAGCTCTGCTCAGACATATTCTTCGGCAAACATTCTCACCTTTAAAAATACATCTGCCCATCACCTCTAAGTAAAAGTTCTTGGTCTGAAGCCTCGGCTCTGACATGGAAGCCCTGTGAGAGTCTGGCTTGGACTGACTGTGCATGCTTGTCATCCTAGACTCTCCCACACCCTTCTCTACTGACACGGGGAAACTCTAACCCACCAGAGGGCATCACATACAGGTACAACTGCTGGGGTAAGAGGGTGCATTACTCGGTCCCATCACTGATCAGCTAAACAGATCTGACATTGACTGGCGAAGCCAGACACCTTTGGTGTGTGGCCCCTAGCATGTAAAGATTTTGCTCCTCTCTTTGTCCACCACCAAGTGGCTTTGTCAAAGGTTAAGAGTCACCAGTGGCGAGTCACCGATACTCCAAGCTTGGTACCCTCTGTGGAAGCACCCGCTCCGTGGAAGCATGCTGTTCCCAGTGTGCTTCCCTTCCTGTGAAGGTCTTTCCTCTACTGCAGACTTGTAAGCAACAACTGGTGGATCACAGTGTCACTTGCCTTTTCTGTTACCTTTTCAACGATTCACAAAGCGCTAGGGGAGTGGGCTGTGCTCAGGAAGTCTTACAGATTGTGACTCCTTCCAGCCCTGCTCCATCGAGGGATGGTTACCTACACAGCTCTGGACATACAGGGTCACAGAGTAATGATGGCTAACCTTGAGATAGTGGAGAGAAAGGGTCACAGGGCGGCAGGGAAAACAGGAAGAGCCCAGGGCCTGGACCTCTGAATACGGAGTTGGAAGCTCAGGTCTGGTCTTGGTTATCATCGGTTTCTCCCCAAGACAAGGGGACAAAACACATGGTCCACATCTATTCCTAAGATTCCCACTGAACACACACGATCAGCAGCACCAGTGGAAACTCCAAATGCTTAGACGTGTTAAGGACCGTTCTAAACACCGTGTTCCTACCTGTTCCTTAACCTTCACACTGCCTCTGAGGAAGGCACTAGTGGTATTATCTTACAGATTTGGAAAGTGAGGGACGTGCCTAAGGTTTCACAGCTGGTAAGAGAAGAACTAAGATTCCAATCCAATCAAACTGGTTCAAATTCCTTTGCTTATCAAGTTCCTTTGCTGCCAGCTGAATCTATGGACCCAGTAAAGCTACTGCCCCAGGAACCCTGTAGCCAGACAAACCACAGGCATCAGCTGACCTGCTGGCCACATCCTCTTCAGTGCCTTTGTCTAGCACGCTGCTCAGGTTATGCTCGGCCTGCGTCTCCTCAGGCACCTCCTCAAGCTCCTCTATCTGCCTCACAGATCGGCGGTAGTTCTCCAGCTCGATCCTCTCAGGGGTGCCCCTCAGCCTCTTGGCGATGCTGGGCTCCTCCAGGCCGTTCATGCTGGTACCTGTGGGAAAAGCAAACAGGCAACTGAGGATGAAGGGCAGAAGCTAAACTCCAGCAATGGATGATGGGAGCTGGTGCTGGATGAAAGGGAATGTTGACCATTGAGGCCACCGTAACTTGTTTCTCAGAAAAAGATGCACAGTTCTCCTGGAAATCAGACCACGGGTGAAGGAAAGCTGAAAGGGTTGTGGACTGGCCTGAGGACAGGAGACGAAACTGTGGGTGTGTGCAACATTTCCCTAAGTAAGTCAAGATGGGAAGATGCCAGCTTACAGGTAACAGTGACTGGGTGGGGGTTAAGGATCTGTACAGGGCCTGCAGATGGGTCTCTTTTCCCCAGGGACTATGAGAGTCACAGAGAGAGCGTCATACTTCCCATGGCCCCCACAAAGATAGTCTGGTAGGAATCTGCTGAGGCGTCTTGTAGACCTGTCGCACAGGATCTGCCAGTGTCCTGTCGCCATATATTTGACAAATATCTTGCAGGACAAGCACACCACAGTGGCAGTGCTGAGCCCTTTGCGTGGTTGTGCAGGGGAGAGAGGGGCCAAGCTTGGCAGTGTGGGGCAGGTGCTGCCCATTCAGCATGCCCACACATCGGTATACCTTCCCTGTATGCACATGTATGCATTGTGAGGTGAAACCACACAATTTTCTGCCCTCATCATTCTTCACTCAGGGGTCTGAGCACCTGTTAATGATCTTTGCTTGTTGGTTAGAATGACGGGGACCACCAGACGATACTTTTTAAAAATTCTACCATTTCTACCAGACAGCTTGCTTTTAAATACTTCTGAGAGACACTATAGACTCACAGTACTTCTAAAACTCAAACCAGATACAAAGCATCCCTGACTTGAGTCTCCTTCAGTCCACAGCAGGCATCCTGTCTCCTTTCTTGCTACTACTATTCGTCTTGATACTTACTTGCCACTGTCCCAGTTCTGGTCAGAGGCCCCTTGTGTATCCTGTCATGTCTTCTGTGTCACAACACCACAGAGGCACAGTCATACGGACCCAGGTCAGATCCTGACTCCATCGGTGACTGAAAGTGCTGACACGGTCCAAGAGTGGAGTCTCGTGTGGAGAATTCTGAATGCTTGTGAGAAAACTCCAAGAAAACAAACTAGAGTCTTGTGACCTTAATTTCTTCAAAGCAAGTAACTGTTCTTAGATTGTGCGCCTCCCAGTTGTAGCAGATAGGAGTGAGCTTACCTCAGATTATTCATCACAACTGGCTATTGTTATTTGTTTATATGCCTCTATGGAAAAACATGTTTCTGCCACGTGCAGCTTGTCCTTGTGATTGCACACAGCTTGAACTCCATGGGAACTTCACTCGAGTGACTTTTCCTAACCCTCAGAGTATAAACTGTCTGATGTTGAATAAAGCTGGCTACTGCACAAGACTTTAGCCTGCCTCATCTTTAGACTCCATTTTCCTAGGTCCCACTGTCTCTAGAGCAATGGATAAAGCAGAAGGAGCTAAGAAACACTCTAATCCTCTCAAAGTCGCACCCTGGCCTGTGGCTAGGATGACACCCGCCTCCCAGGGTGGGTGTGAATGTGAGGGTGCCAACTCTGGAGCCCCAGTCTATCCCCCTCCTCTTCTCCCACAGAGCAGCATTTAGCAACTATGGGTGAAGCCACAGAGCTGATGTCCACTCGCTCTGGACCATAAATTCAGTCCCTGATGCAGACATAAGGGAAGAGGTGGCGGCTCTAGGTTAAATGCACACACACCTGTGTTTTAAGATACACAGTGACAAAGAAAGGTAGGAACAGGCCTAGAAAAGCAGGGAGCACTTTCCATACCATCCTGACGACCTGAGTTCAATCCTAGAACTCTCAGAGAGGTGGAAGGAGAGAAGGAACTCCATGAAGTTGCCCCTTGATCTCCACATGTGCTTTGTGACATGCCCACCCCCAAACACACATCAAACACACACTCAGTAATAATAAATGAAATTGGTTTTTGTTTTGTTTATAAAAGAAAAGGCAGAGCCCAGGTGAGAGAGGGTCAGGAATGACCACAGGCTCTGACTAGGGCAGGTCTCTAACTGCTGTCATATTCTAAGCACCAGAGAGAACACTGGAGTTTTGTATGCAGTGTCATACCAACCCAATTTGGGATGACAGGTGTCTTCTCAGGCAGACCTAAACTAGTTTAGCAACTCTGGGATAGGAAATGCTTTGAGGGTTGGCATTTCTGTTGTTTGCAGGTTTTTGTTGTTGAGACAGGGTCTTTAGCCCAGGCTAGCCAATTCACTATAGCCAAGGCTCATCCTCCTGCCTCCCAAGTGCTGGGATTAGAGGCATGTGCCACCATACCTGGTTCATTTGGTGCTGGGAATTGAACGCCAGGCCTTATGGACTGTTGGGTAAGCAATGAGATACAGCCTCAGACCCAAAGTAATTTCAACTCCTCTGCCAGGGCACGAGAGAGTTTTTCTACGAATACAGTCAGGTGCAGGGGTCAGTCTTAGTACATCTGCTGCCATCTCCAGCTCTGCTACAGCAGCAGCTTTCAGAGTGACTAGAGAGTCTTACTGAACAGCAAGATCTGATGCTAAGTTTGTTCACAAATCCAAGCATGCGTGTGCTGATGGGATCTGACAACATATCCTTGTGTTCTCCTCTCTCTCCCTCGGGAGCATCATTTTAAATACCCTGCTCCATTTTCCAGCACTAAGATCATAGCCTTAAAAGTATAAGCTACACACACGGCTAGATGAGAGTGTCTGGGAGTTAAGTGCACAGAGTACAAGAGAGGGCAGGCAGCCAACTCCTTCTCCAAAGCAAAGCTGTCTGCCCAGGCCTCAGGAGGGCACAGGCTCCAGGTGCTGGCTCATCCACCCTTTCCTTCTTCATCAACACCCACAAACTCCATAGAACAAAGATGAGGATGCCCTGACCACACACAGTGAGATTCTTTCTCAGCATGTGCCTGATGACTGCTCTTACATGAAAAATAAAAAGAGGAACAAGACACAAAGCAAGCAAAAGCTTCCCAGGAACTCCATTAGTATAGAGCAATAACAGTATTTCTTTTAGGAGAAAAGAGAAAATCAGACCAACAGCTATCACTTTGGGGCAAACAAGGGCCACTGGTCCATTCTAACCCCAGCAAGGTAGAGCGCAGAAACACACGGGAGAAGCAAAGTCAGGTTTGTGGCTGATGCTTACTCCGTGCTGGGAACTCTGTTAGGATCTTGGGGAAGACAGCTGCAAACCCCATTTCCACGCTTACATAGACTTGTGGACAGCATGTCAGGCATAAGTTATCAAGTACTATGACAGACGCATGCTTATGGGGCCATGAGAGTACCTAAGGAAGCAGTGTCTGTCCTGGGTACTCAGGGAAGGTCTTCTGGAGGACTATGTAGTTAACCAGCATTGAAGTGTGCAGACACTTAGGTGTCTGAGGTCACACAGCCTGTGGGCAGGGGGACTAAGAATTGAACTTCAAGAGGAAAGCAGTAATTCAAGAGGCCACCATGTTGTCCCCTGACTTGTGACACAAAGAGAGGACACTTGCAGAGTCCTAGTCACCGCTCCCTTGCCAGGCTTCACCAGACTGTGGTTCTTTATATTAGAAAATGTCTTAACAGACACATGCTGGAGTCTGGCGTGGCAGGCATTCTGCCCTCTGCCTGGTGTTATTTCTCTGCAGAGTCTACATGCTTTGCAGGCTGATGGATCATCAAGTATCAGAACTTGGCAGTCCAGAGCCCAAAGCTCTAGGGGGTGGAGATGGAGATGCCACAATTAACAAAAAGATAGTCAGGACCAGTCAGAACTATTCAGACCCTTCACATGTCTGGTGCTATGGAAGGATGCTCTGATAAGTACCTTGCTGGAGATCTGGGGAAAAAAAAAAGGCAGAAGGCCTGACTTTGTGGCTTGCAACTATAATCCCAGAACTCAGAAGGCTGAGGCAGGAGCATTGAGATGAGCTTGGGCTATATAACAAGACCCCGTCTCAAAACCAAAACCATCAAACAAAAGTGAAGGTGAAGCTGGGAGCTGTGGCAGATGCATTTGGGAGGGAGAGGCAGGCCGAGCTCTGTGAATTCCAGGCCAGCCAGGGCTACAGAGTGAAACTCTGTCTCAAACAACAGAAGTGGACAGAGGGTTCAGGTAAAAGGCTGGGAACACAGCTCAGCTGGAAGAGCGCATGCCTAGCATTCGTGAGGCCCCCAGGGTTCAATCCCCAGCAGCACAAACACCAGATTGTATTGTAGCAGATCAGAAATTCAAGGTCATTCTTGGCTGTATATGGAATTCAGGCTGGCCTGGGCTAGAGACTCTGCCACCACAAAAATCAACCAACCAACCAGCCACCCACCCATAAACAGTAAGAGGAGGGAGTTAGCCCTGTTTCTGCCCTCTGGCCCACCTAGTAGCCACTCATATAGAGCTCTGGCTTATTCCAGCTTTCAGTGACAAAGGACTACTTAGGCAGAGAACCCCAAGGACTGGGGTCTCACAGTTTTCCCAAAGGGAAGATGATGTCCAGTGTACCACACATTTCCAGCCCACAATGTTAAAGCACTTTGGCAAGCACAGTGCCAATGAATCAAGATCAACATCCTTGACTCTCTGTCCTGACCAAGGAGCTATGAGACAGGTGAAGTGAGGCAGGGAAGAAAGAAGTGGAGTGGTAAAGGCCTTCCTGGTGACCTCAACATCATCGGACCGGGACAGCCCCTCCTACCGACATGTATAAGTGTCTGGGAGAAGGAATCACAAGAGACAAGGGATGAAAATGAGCAGCTGCTGCAGTCTCAACACTGCTATTTAAAATGCTTTGACGCTTGTGAGCCACTTAGGAAGCTGAGGCAGGAGGATTGCTTGGGCCAGGAGTGCTTGGGTAACACACAGAGACTGTACTTCTAAGCAAGTAAATAAGGCTGGCAGAAGTTGGTGTGAGTAGGTAAGGCATAGCCAGCCTCATCAGATGGATGGCCACCTCCCTCCACATCATATGCCGCTCTGTCA